CCTGCTGAATCTTCTGTCTTTCTGTCAGGTCTCCTTTTTCTTGAACTATTTTGGGTTCTCTAAGCACTAGTTTTCATCCTTTTTTGACTCTCCATGGGCAGCTCAAAATGCCTGAGCCAGAAGGGTTGAGGAGTCTCTCTGGTCCTTGTGTGTACCAGGACTCGCTTCTTCCCTCCTTGTATAGGCAAATCATGAGCCTGATTAAAGCCCATTTGGCTCCGGGCTCCCCGCTTCCCCTGCTTTCCCTATCACATGTCCTTGCAGATTTACCAACCCTGGGTCTGCCTCTGGCTGTGCAGTCTGTCCTCAGCAGCCTTGCTGCACATCCAGCATCTCTGCCCTGGTCCTGCGCTTGGGGTGCTGCTCTCTGGCAAGGTCTGCGCCATCGGGGCCACCAGATGCCAGCTGGGTGATGGGGCAGGAGTTGGGTGCCCGCAGGGGGCAGAGTGCAGCCCCGCGCTGCCTCGCCCCTGGGGTGGATGGTGGCACTGGGGATGTGCCTCGCGCATCGGGGGAGTCAGTGATGCTGAAAACGGAGAAAAGACTTAAGCCTTCTCTGCGATTAATGCCAATTATAAATCCTGCTGTTCCTGTTGTATCTCAAAATATCACCCGGAGTGTTTGTGCAAACACTGGGTACAGGGTGAAAAAACACCAAACCAGGGAAAATCCACCCCATGCAGAGCTCATCCCAAGCCTGTCTTCCAGGACACCAAGGCGCCGTCCTCCCTCGTCCCTTTTCACAAAGGTGACATTTGTAAAGAGCTCAAGGGCAGGTTTTTCCATGCTGAAGGCTCAGCAGCTCCCTGTGCAGCAGTGATAACCGGGTGTCTCGAAGAGCCGGGTCAGCGCAGAGGGGAGGTGCAGAGCTCTGTGGAAGCCTGGCCATTTAATTCAGTGCCCCTGTCACCGTAAGCTGAGCCACCCCGTGAACTTGTGACGAGGACATGTGCTAGTGACATGTCCTCTTCCTCCCATGCGTGCCGAGATGCTGGGGTGTGTGTGCTGCCTTCCTCGTTCCTCATATAAATAAATATTCCCATTGGGCTGAGACCAGGTCTGCAAATAGCTAATGAGAGCTGAAATCCCAACCTGAAATTAATGCTCTTCTGGCTGAATAGGGTTTTAAAAATCTCTTTTTTTTTTTTTTTTTTTAGGCAGGGTTCCTCTCGGGCTTCACTTGTATGTGCAGCCTCCTCATGGCATTCTTTCTAAGAAATGAATTTGGGACAGCGGGGAGCTGTGTCATGATGTGGGTAATTGTTCCCCACCAAGGATGTTTGGAACAGTGCAGGAGGTTTGTAATTGTGCCTGACTCTGGTGTGCAGCAGCTTCCCCAGAGGCACAGTGCAAAACCCAGTGTGGTGGCGTGGGTACCCTGGCACAAAGCTCCCAGCATGTTTCAGCAGCTGTGTTTTGGTTTGACAGATGCTGGTGGGACAAAAGTTGGTGTGGAATGGTGGCCTTAAGCCTCCTCCTTAACTATTCTCAGCAAATGGGGCAGCAAGTTTTCCCACAACCTGTGATACAGCTCCATAAATGAGGGTACAACTGGGTAAACCTTGATTTGTATCAGTGTACCACAGGGCTTGACCATGTCCAGTGCAGTGACCAGCACCTGTAGCTGTGCCGTAGACCACCCTCGAGTGCCTGGTCAATAGATTTGGGGGCTGTGTCTCCCGGATAGCTTTTGTTTTGCTGCAGTGACTGCGGCAGAGGCATTGCTGGTGTTTGAGGGTGTTGTCCCTTTAGCCTTGCAGCGGTGTTCAGGTTGTCTTTGTCATCGCTTCAGGCCCGGTTGTGGAAGCAGGTATGAAAACCCCACAGTGGATGGGATGGGTCCTTCTGGCATCGAGCAGTAGGAAATGGGGTCCTCTGGTCAAGAAGGAGACCCATTGCTCTCTGTGTGTGTGTGAGAAATAAATAGGGAATTGATTCCCAAGGGAATTCGTGCCAGCACCCCTCATCTCACTTTTAACTGCTGCTCTGGATGCATTATTTCCTCCCCAGAAATGAGGATTGGGAAGGGACATCTAACAAGAGAGATCCTGTAAGATATGCCAGGAAGCTGCTTAAGTTATTCTGCTGCCTAGAAGAATTGACAGAATAATGAACCTGAGATGGCAGAGATTTTCTCTTACAGATAATTAGTTATAGATAAACAAGTATTAACCAACTGGTGACTGCAACCATTACAGGGTTTGGTTTTTTTTGTATGAGGAAAGAGATTTTAAATGGATCCCATGTATCTAATGTGCCTGGAAATCAGTGAGTTTTGCAAGGGAAAAAGGCTTCTGTAGATGTCATTAATTTCAAAGGTATATTAAATCTGGTTCTTTAGTTACTGGATTGCTTTAAAATGCAAATTAACCACTTGCCAAAATCAATTTCTTTTGCAGCTTGAATTTCAGTGGAGTCCATCTGGCATCTGCTGGGCAGTTCAGTGACTTCCTGGGGAGCATGGGCCCTGCACAATTTGTTGGGCGTCAGACCTTGGCCACCACCTCGATGGGTAAGGAACACAAAGATGTTAGGTGGCTTTAATTTAATCTTGAACAGACTGCTCCTACAAGCCACCTAATAATGTATCCAACATCTGCTGATCTACCACTCCCCCGCTCCATTTCTCTGTTAAATCAAGTAAGCTTGGCTGAAAAGGTTTTGCTGATTGCTGCGAATGCGGCATTAGTAGGAGAGCACCAGCTTTATGCTTTCCTCTGTCAGATCCGAAAGGCGTAGGCTAAGTAAAACACAGCTAAAATCCTGAGAATGCATCCCGTGTATCTTCATGTTTTTCTTGCTCTCTAAGGCTCACCGGGGTCTATAAAGATTTTCTGATGGTCTGCCATAATTGCATTTTCCAAAGCAGCCTGCAATTCTAGGTGCTTCAGTTTGGGAGAGCTGAGAGGCTAGCCACCGCTGAAGAGTATGAGACTGAGTCACCAAAGCCATGTTAGAGGGCTCACATTAGAGATTGCTTTGGAAAATGTGGGCTTGAATCACTGCAGAGCTACTCTAGAGTAACACAGGAGATCAGACACTCAGGGCCTACAGTTTGTTACAGTTTATAGCAGGCCTGACATTAAGATTGGGGTTTTTTTTAACGTTTTAGTAGCCCAGAGATGTATTGTTTTGAAAGTCTTCTGTCTATTTTGACATTTTGGTTTAGGGGATGTGGAAATCGGCTTGCAAGAGCGAAATGGGCAGCTAGAAGTGGATATCATTCAGGCTCGAGGACTGACACCAAAGCCCGGCTCCAAAACACTGCCAGGTAGTATGCTTTGACTTCCTAAAGTAATTCACTAAGCCCCAGCCTCCTGCAATGCTTGTGAATAGGAAAAAAATTAATTCTGCTTGGCTTCTGCAGGACTAAGCAGTCTGTATGCGGTATTGAAAAAAAGGCTAGTTGAGCACTGCTGTAAATGTCTTCTTTAGAAATACCTGAGACATGGCACTCTGTCTTTTCTAAAGTGAGCATGAAGATTTTTTTCATATTTGACCATATTTATTTTTTCCAGCTGCTTACATCAAAGCTTACCTGCTAGAGAATGGCGTGTGCATTGCGAAAAAGAAGACAAAAGTGGCTCGCAAATCATTAGACCCTTTGTACAATCAGGTGTTACTGTTTGCTGAGAGCCCCCAGGGCAAAGTATTACAGGTAAGACAAGCAAGTCTCAGGTCTGCCCATCTCTCTCTTCTACTTATGCTGGAAGATATTAAGTCTGGCAAGGAATCTGGATAATTAATATAGATGAGAAAAAACCCAGTGTTTTCACTGAACCAAATGCACTCGATCTGGATGTAACAAATGGAAAGGAAAACCTTTTTTTCATATTCAAACTATGTCAATGTCAAAATATTGACACCCTGCCAGGTAACATGAGTACCTACCAGGAAAAAGTTGATTTTTCCATTTTTTTAATTCTTTTTTTCCTGCCCAGTTAGGAGATAGGTAGTACCTATAGATGCTAAACCATCTTGCAGCATGGGTTGTCTCCTGTGTTTGTATGTATTCAGAGCACTCCGCTTTGGCCGTCACCCAATCACGTATCTTACTTTTTTCTACCTTTTTTCTTTTATTGCCATGCCTTTTCTGCCATACTCATATTTTCCATTCAGCACCTATGTTTCCAGAGCCAAGAGTGATTTGCATTGTTAATTCATACCTAAATCATTTTCATCCAATAAAGCCTGGCTAAAATCCACTGGTGATACTGACGTAATTAATCCATAAGTTTCTATTGCTTACCTTCCCTGGCATATGAATTGCCAGCTAACCTACTGGATCCTTTTCTTTAGTGAACTCTTCCTCATTTACCTTGATTAGAAGCACTTTCCCCTGTTGCAATGAGACTGCACATTTTTGACTGAAATGGGGTGGGACCTGGCTTGGTCTGTTCTTGCCTTGCATTGGTTTTGTTACCTGCTGCCTGCCTGCCGGGAAAGGCACTTATTCCAAGAGAATAAAATGAGCAGCTTGGCTCTCTGCCACTGGCCGTGCCACCAAACCAACTTTCTGCGGTGGCTTGCTCCATCTCATGCTGACCTAGACTGTTAATTTTTGTCTTTTAATTGACATTCATTGTCTCTCCTACCTCATTTTACAGAAAATTGTAATGTTCTGGTTATTCAGAGCCTAGCACAAGAAGCTGTCAGGGTTAGCCAGAGATCACTAGTCACGGTCATAACCCATCATACTCATCCTCTCCTCTTCAGAACGTGGTCTCGCTCTGGAGCCAGTCACCACCTTTGTCTTGAGCCACGTAGGGCCACTTGGTCACGTGCAGACCTCCAGCATGCCTAAGCCCATGACCCTCACTACATCTGTTGTTCCACCCGCTGGTCTCCATCGTGTCGTAAGTGTGATTCAGCTTTCCCTGCTCGTCTGCCAGCTCTCTTTCATTAGACCTTTCTCTGCGTCTGCACGCCTTTCTCGGCAGTCTGTTCTGCTTCCCCTGCATGCCACTCCATGTGTGCCCCTTACATCACCGGCCCCACTTGCCAGCGCTCGGCTCCTGCCCTTTCTCCAGGTGAGTAGCCGTGCCTCATCACCATCTGCCCTGTGTCACGAGCTCCACACGCAGAAGTTAAGACATGCTCTTTTCCTCAAACTGTTGGCTCCTGACCCAAGCTGTTGCCCACCTTTTTTTTGTTGGTGTATTTTTCCAGATCAGGAGCCCTTCCTGCCCTTTTCCCACAGGCTGCCTTTTGTTGCGTCCAAGGCCTGTTACTGTGCCAGGACCAGGTTTTACGTGCAGGTATCGGAGTTGCAACTCCTGGGATACTTTGTGCACATGCTGTTCCTGCCCAGCACGTACAACAGCAGAATGCGTCTCATCTGCACGTGCATTCACCTCTTTTTCCGGGGTAGAGGACAACACAAAAATGTCTGATAACATTAGGATTTATAAAACTGTGCTTAAAAAAAAAAAAAGTAAAATAATCAGCAAGAGCTACACGTTGGTAGTGTAAACCTGTCTGCTCTTCTTGGACTATAGTAAAGCCCCGGGAAGTTGGATGAGTAGAAAGAAGGATTGACCAGTTTTGTGCTTCCTAAGCAAGTGTGCAAGTTGGAGGATTAACTGTGCTTCCCTTCTTGTTCCTAAGGTGATAGTCTGGGGAAACTATGGACGCATGGAGCGCAAGCACTTCATGGGAGTCGCCAGGGTCCTCCTGGAAGAACTGGATTTGTCAACTTTAGCAATTGGCTGGTACAAGCTCTTCCCAACCTCCTCAATGGTAGATCCCACTACAGGCCCGCTCCTGCGTCAGTCCTCACAGCTTTCCCTGGAGAGCACAGTGGGACCCTGCTGTGACAGGTCTTAGTGAGTAAGGAAGGGGGAACTGCTTTTGTTTTTTAAACATGCTGTCAAGGTTTTGTTTGCTGGAACTCTGACCTCAAGCGCAATGCATGTTCAATCAGTTCTTGTGGAGCTGGAAGAGGAGGATAAACCAGTGACCTTAGACAGAAGACGAGGGGGAGCGCAGTGTGTCCTCTCCGTCCGAGGAGGAGGTGCCATGGGGCATGAGTCCTAGTTGTCAAATTAGACATACACCTCTTGTTTCACTTCTCTCGCTGTCATTCTTGGACCCTTGTTTCAGATCAGTATTAACCCTGGAAAGTTGCAGCATTCGAAAGCATTTGGGGGGGATAAGGAAGGTATTTTTCTTAACTGTGCATCTTAGAAATTTCTAATACGGATTCTTTCACAAGAAAGTACCTGAAAAATTCAGAGGCCGATATCTGACTTAAAAAGAGCAGGAGCAGAAAGTTTCAGAGGAAGCATTAGGGGTTTTTTATAAGGTCTGTCTTCTTGAAGGGAAGAAAAAGAAAGAAGCCTGCAACTCTTTCTTTAGAATCAGTTCCACACCACTGAGTCACGTTAAATGTAACGCTGTCGTCGCTGTGTTTTCAAACTGTGCCAAATTACCAGCAAGTGTCTTTACTGCATTACTTGTCTAACACTGCTGATGAAGCATACTTGGTGGGAGAATAAGTAGCGCCTACTTAGACCAGACAGTTTGAACAGAGTTCGAGTTTAGCAGGCTAATTAACTGCAATTTTGCTCAGAAAAAAACCCACTAGAAGTGGGAGCTGAACATCAGACTTGCAGCTTGAGATGTTTTGTATTGTCAAACGCAATGTTCTGCAATTTACTGACTCCCTTACTTGTCGCTGTGCATCCTTCAGTCACGATGTCTTCTATCTCCTGCTTTTCTTCCATCTCCTTCGTACTGGTACATATCTGCTGGAGATGCTGCCCTTCCTGTTGTGCTATGGACTGACCTGAAACAGGACTGGTTTATTCTGCCACGGGAGAGGAGATTGAGGTTTCTGGGGGTGCAGAAGAAAGAGATCTCAGTTTGTCATCTGACAAGAAGGTGCTGGAGAGCACGTAACCTTCCTGTGGAGAGAGAAGGTTGCTTTAGGCAGTCTCAGTAGTGCACAAACATTGTCAAGTGTCCTGCAAGAGGAAGTGCAATCCCCAAAGTGTGGAGAGGTAGTGGGTGAGGAATCTGAAGACGCAGTGGTCACAGCATGTATATTTTGTTAATTAAAATGCAACACAAACTGTAAACGAGTCCTGTAGATTAAGTCAGTAAAGCACATTCTCTGAGCTGCCAAGCTACGGCAGCCGTTGTCAGCAGAGTCACGTGCTGGAGTAAGTGCTCTAGATCCTTCAGACAATTAGAAACCTAATACCCAAACTCACAGAGAATCTCCAAAGATTTTCTGTCGTTTGACCTGTTTTGGCTAGGTTTTGTCGTAATTCTTAGCGAGGATTTGATGACTGCTATCTCCGAATAAGCTTTTTGGAGATGTTTTAGTTTGTGATTTACAAGTGAAGGTCCCATGTCACGTTTTGGAATGAGCAGATCCTTGACCTGTTGTAGAGGCATACTGAACATTTATTTCTGCATGTGGACCTCAGCTTTGTTAGAATAAAAGCATGAGTGTTGAGTGGATGGTAAAAGCAGTTGCTTTTGGTCCTAGCTTGTCTATGGCGTTTTAAATTATTTTGAGATAAATTACAGAATAGATGCAAAAATAATAGGCCTTACAATAATCTCTGTAAAAAATGATATAATGTAAAGGAGAGGGGAAGAGGAGAAGGGACATGGAATGAATACTTTTTTGAGTCTTCAGTGGCAAAAGCCTCAACACTTCAGATAAGTCTCTTAATTTCCTTGATCAAATACGTCTCTGGCCTCTCACTAATTATTTTTTCTAATCGTATTAGACAATTTCTATATATTAGCTGAAGAAAGTTTGTTGCATGCTGGTCAAACTATGTTGTGGCGCTCTCTTTTATTTTTTACAAAAAGCACATTTACTGTAATTCAAGTCAGCATCTTTTCCTCTTGGTATGTAGTGAGTACTAGGCAATATTGTACAATATGTGTATGAACTAGAATAGATTAGGTAGATTTAGTGGTTTGTAGCACTGGATCTTTTAATAACTATGTCTTTAAAAGGACCGTGGGGAGCTCCAGGTACGTGCCAGACCTGGCAGCTGAGTAACAGGGCTTCTGTCCTAAGTTATGCTGAAAACTTTATATTGGTACTTAGTTTGGACATTATCTACCAGTAATAGCTAGTTAATCATGGTTTTCCCGTGTCCACTAAGATGAATGCAATGTTTTTGCAGTCCTTAATGAGGAGTAGGAGACTATATATGCCAAAAATATTCCCCGAGAAAACTTTGTTTAATGACTGTCTGTTGAAAAGCTCAGTTCCTGTATGCCTGGCAAATGTGACGTGTCTTTATATCTTATCCCTTCAAAAGCTCTGCAAGCTCAGTGAGGATCAGTTTAGTTACAACAGGACTACTTAACACTGAGGACTATCTTCCGTATGTTTTTAATCACGCTAAAAGGTCACTGTCAGGGTAAAAAAAAAAAGTTACACTTCTCCTTGTGTTATTTTTGTTAAAGTCTCAGATTCTGAAATTTGGAGGCAGTTTTAACAATCTGCTCCATCCTGTTTTCTTCTGCATTTTTTACGTGGTTGATTGTAGTCCAGTGGTTCTTGCTTTTGTTTCTACTCACTTCCAAGTCCTGTTTCTCCCCAGTAAGAGAACGTTGCAACCACTGGCTGCCACGCACAGCAAAGTCACGTGAACTGGCAAGTGCAGATGATCTTCCTTCATGAAGCAGACTCACAGGAGCCCTTCTGAGCGTGCCCATGGGGTGCAGAGTGAGACCAGGAGAGGTGCACGGTACCCTACAGTCTAAATTCTTGCTTCACTCAAGCCCGTGAGTCCTGCACTGGCCATGGTGTATTATAGTTAAAAAAGAAGTCTTCTAGTTATGCGTCAATTTAAGGACTCCCAGTATAGCGTCCACGGCAAGTCTCAGACTTGGAATAGCTTACTTTTATAAAGCCTAGCCTTTTTTCCCCCCCCCCAAATTTGACTTGCCCGTTTCTGTCTAAGGTGATGTGATTATGACAGTTGGGATTACCAGTGTGGTTGTGAAAAAGTAGTGGTTTGCTAGAGTGATGAGCAGCTGAAAACTAAACTTTGGTCTTGGCAAGTCCTGACTGAGTTTTTCCCCATGTCTGAGTCTAGCTGTTTGTTACAGTCAGGGAGGGGGAGAGAGAGGAAGAGCAGGAGACTTAAAAAAAAAAAAAAAAAAAAAAAAAAAAAGGCTTTATAGTATTTTTGGTCTGAGCGCAGTGATGAGGGAGATGAGACTGAGGAGAGATAAATGCCTGCCCAGCTCAGGGTTGGTTCCCTGCTCCTTGTGCGTGAAACACTACATTTTAATAGTCATAGGAGGATTGCTTGCCAAAAAAAAAATGGAGAGCCAGTCCCTAAATGTTACCTGCATTACTATTACCATGGAAAACAAAGAAATCCTGGTGCCAAGAGCATCCCTGAGAGCAGAATAATCTCTCCCCAGTGGGAATCCCCTGCATGCAATGAGAGGAGAGCACTGAAACTGTGCCTCGCATGCAGCTTCGTCCTCTTTGTGGTCTGAGCAAAAAGCAGCCGTGACCATGGTTAGTCCCGCTTTGTTCAGGTGAAAAATGTGGTATTTTCCCAGTCTCCTGGTGTTGCTTTTCCTTTGCCCCAACAGGGCTGGGATGCCACAGAGCCAACACAAGGTCTTCACGCTGCAATTGAGTCTGTGGGTCCTCATCCTGCAGCCGAAGGCGCGTGGGCAGCCTGGAGCATCCCTGTCGCGCTGCGTGCGGGCGTGGGTGCCCCCGGGCAGGGCGAGGGCCAGACAACTTTATTGTTTAGCCAAGTACATCCCCACTTCTTGGCCATGGATTGTTTCAAAGGACATTGCAGAATTACTTGCTTTGAATGAAAATATATATTTATTGTTTCTAGCTACCAGATCCTTTATCAATGTACTGTTCTAAATTTGCAGGTCTTCTGGAGTATGAATATCACAGGTTCCTGTAAAGGAGCTGTTTTTAAGACGTTGAGGCAGTTAACAGAACCTCAACCTAAGCATGTTTAGTAATGTTTAGACAGCAAGACAACTTTTTTATGAAACTCATTTTAAGTTAGTTTATTACATGCTGTTGGTAATATTTTAAAACAGGAAAAATATTTTTCTTTAAAGACAAAATGATGTATGTTTTTTAACAGATAACATAATTTAGTGTTTTCAAAAATGTTTAATGTTCTTGGTATGGAGTTTACTCATTCTTTTGATTTCTATGTTCCTTGTTCTATTTTATCAACTTTTTTCCAAAAGAAAAGAGGCATATGTAAATAAACACCAGAAAAGAGTCCTATAAGAAATTCTGTTCAAACTGGCCATAAAATTATTAGTAAATATTTGTTATTGTTCATTAACTCTCAGCTACTATTCAAGCCTTTGTTGAAAGAATCGATGTTGTATTTTCAAGACGAGAACTACTTAGCTAGTTTTGTCATAATCCTGTACTCTGTATAAAAATCTTTTTATAAAGAAAGTCTAATAGGCTAACAAGCAATAATCTATTCCATTTGGTGTGCACAGATTGTGACTCGCAGGCTGTAGTACATATTGTTGATACAGTTTATAATTGTCTTCAATCTCAAGGCCATCACTTTGGAAAAAGATCCATATTAACTTTGATTGTAAAAAATGAAGACCGGGCTGTTGCCTTGTGAGATATATTCATCCTATAGACTTCTCTGTGCGTATATGTGCCCATCAACATGAAAGCTCTCTTAGGTGAAAAATGAAACAGCTGTAGGTGACTTCATGCTACAGAGGTGAAAAATACTTTCAATATAAACTTCATGACTGTTTCAATCTCCCTGTTCTTTCTTAGGCTATCTAGTATTTGTAACTCAACGAGAATGGTTCCCACTGCCACC